AATGCTTAAGTATTCCAATATGCTACCAATTAAACATGGAACAATTTCTAAATAATGCTTAATAACAAAGTTGAAATTTGATCTTCAACTGTTAATGTCTTCTAGAAATTTTCGAAAACAATGTTTTTGATATTTTTCTCGTACTCCCCAAGTGAGCCTCTATCACCCCTTAAAAGGAATGACGCCAATTTTTAATCACCCTGTATTTCTTCAGCAGTCCCATGCCTATCGCACCTTTTACAGTTAAAAAGTTACGAACACAGTATGTTCTCTCCATTTCTTTAAAATTTTATAAATAGTGCTTTCTGGTTTTCCAAATCTCTCAGGTACTGCATTTGTTGACCATCCTTCCTCTATTAAAGTAATTATTTTATTTTTCTCAAGTTCATTTGCATGCGGAATTTTGATAATATGAAAATGCATTTGCATCTGCTGTAACTAATTAGCAAACATTTTTTAACTTTCGTCGGAAGCTTAGGCACTTTGAATTTGAGGCACATTTAAAATGTAATATTAATTCGAAACTATTTTCATCAGATGCAATTTCATTTAGTCCAACTGGTCCAAACTCTACTTACGTCCAACCTTTAGATACTTAAAACTTAGACTAGAAACAGTAAATAATGGACATACGATCTGAAATATTTATATCTTAACAGCGACTAACTTGCAAGAATCTAAATGGAAAGATGACGAACATTTGCGCAATGTTTATGTTCCGACACACCACCAAATAAGGCGCCGTTAATTTGAATTGAATTATGATCGATTAGATATATTTATAAACAACTCAGACAAAAGTATAAGCCATGAGAATGAGCAGCACTAGTAGTCTATTTAGAGTAAAATGAAAAATTGAACACTGCTAATAACTAAAATATAATGTAAAACTGCTTAAATTCTCCTTTAGAGATATCGGAAGATCGGAAGAAGGATTTTCAGGATTTAATGCTGCAAAACTAAATATCCGGGGTGTTCGATGAAGTTGCGACCAACACCTAACGAGGCAAGTATACGGCAAAAATGAGTGTTCCTAAAACTTTTGCAAAAACTCAATAATAACGGATCTACAGGGCGTTAAAGTTAAATTTTTTAAATTACATTTTAAAATAACTTTTTTGTTCGTTATCCGCTTGTTTTAAAATATGGTACGTACACTCATTTTTGCCGTAGAGTCGCCTCATTAAGTGTTGGTCGCACCTTTCCAATCACCCTGTATACACTCCCTTATTTCGAACTTTTTTAGTGTAAAGTACAGTTTAGCGCAAGTAAATTTTGAAACTTTTTTAGTACATTATGCAAACAGTAAAAACGCCCGAACCAGTTTAAAACGTAACTACGTGTATAAAATCAGGAAGTGTTTTTATTTGAATAGTACGTAGGTCGACCCGGTAAACTATATACTTCTCCATCTTATGTTGACGGAAATGGTATCCGGCCTTATACGTTTGAGTTTGTTTTTGGACTAATAGGTATAGCGTTAATCCCACTTATTATACTACAAAACTTGTCGACCATTAGCCTTATTACGAGAAATAAGAAAACTGTATATGTTGTGAAATCAAATATTCAGAAAAATTTTGTGTTTTATCGAAATCCTTGTGAGGTCTAAATATGATATGCGATATACCATATATATTGGTGGTGTACCGACAAATGGAGTAAAACGACAAAATGTTTAATTAAAGGCCTTAATAGCTTTATTCGCAGTAGCTATTCAGAATGGGTTTAGAACCGATAACGAACCGAATAAGGGCGCATACTCGGTTCATGATCTGTTCAGAACCGACTTGATTACCTCGATCCGCGAACGCTTTTAGAACCACCTTTTAGTAGTACCAACAGGATTTTAGTTACTTTGTGCCTAACAGTAATTTCCCTAAACTGAAATGCGATGGAGTGAAAGTGGAAAGACGGAATTGCTGTGTTTTTATGACAATGGTTTAACTGCGAAAAGTGGCAGTTTTTGATTATTTTGAATAAAAATGAATTATTGAAGTTTTTTATTGCGTTTAATTAATTTTTTTTTTAAACCACTGTACAAAAGTGAAAAATCTACATCCGCTTTATTTGACTCTGAGGCGAAAAATTGCTAACATATGTAGGCAATTCCAAGTTTATTTTTACATTGACGTTCTGATCAAAATTAGTTAATTAAATGCGATATAAACATCAAAAAAACTTAATAATTCTTAAACTTAATAGTGATTTACAAATTATCAAACAATTAAAAAAAAAATCTTGATTTTTCTCTGGCAAAGTCACTTATCAAATCGTGACAATCAATCGATCGAAGTAAATCACCTTCAATGCTTGACCTTAAGCTTAACCAATGGAGCGATAGTTGAAAAGAGAAAAATAACAAAAATTGTACTTAGTTTTAGACGCACGTTTAGTATCCGTTTTTTTTAAAGACGACGGCGTTTCGACTTTGTCAGGCCGCGGGTGAAATTTGTGAGTTTTGAAAAAAGTTTGAAAAAAGTTTGATTTCATGTGTTTCCTTATGATCTGTGGCGAAAAATGGCAGTTTTTGATTAATTCGAATAAGATATAATTATTAAGTTTGTTTATGTTTATAATAAATGTAATCAACTAATTTTGGTTAGAACGCCATGTCAGAACCACTGGTCCCTGTTTTAATCCTAGAACTGCAAGAACCGGTAACGAACGTGTTCTGAACCAGTTCTTACCACTACCGCGAACATAGAACTTTCGGTTCGGAACTAGTATTTTTTTGCCGCGAACACTCAATGCCTCTACGCTCATGCGATCTGTCCCTGAATGCCTCTACGCGTATGCGATCAGTTCTGAACTAGTTCTAAATCGTTACCGCGAATAAAGCTAATTATCCGCGTTCATCTTTATGTCGACAGCTGACATTACTATGTTTGATAATGGTAAATAAATATTGTTGAGATTAAATGATACTTAACAAAATTAAGGCGAATTTAGCTGTCAACGATTTTTACACAAAAAAGCGAAACGAGTTAGAAACCCCATAACCAATTGACTGACAAGTGACTTAAATGCTTATTTGCACCAATTCAGCAGTTTTAGGTTACAAGTACCAGTGTTTGACCGATTTCACCTACTACGTCAAGGTGAATCACAGCATCATCTACGCCTTCTCGGTTCAAATAGTACATCCAATATTGAACACCGTATCCAAACTGAACTTGAAGAGCTTCACCCCTACCGAAATTCAATTCTTCCGAATGGGTAATCTGAAAACAAAAACCAACATGGTCAAAATGCTCTTGCCCAAAGAGCAAACCAAAATCTTTGAGCTCAAGTACCTCATAAACTTAGTCATTGAACCCCAAAGACATTCGTCAGCAAATAATATCAGGCACATTCCTCCCGCCCAAGCACCAACTTTCACCCCACCAGCCCCCCAAAACACCAACCTGAGTCCCGCCTTAATACAGCTCTTAACTTATGCCTGAGAGTGAAACCCAAGCCAAAATAAACTGCATTGCGGCAATGCTATGTAGCATGCCAGTTCTTCAATTATTACTAACTACGAGTATATGAACTATAAATCATTACTATCAAAAAATTAAAACCAGCCGGAATCCATATTGTCCGGGAATGCCAACTCATTCTACGCCAAAAGGAACGAATTTGAGGGCAGAATTGTTCTAGGAAAACAATGTGGACATGGCACGAACATGGCCAAGAAACGTTTTTACAACCTCAAACGACATTTAAAATCAATAACTATTAAATCTACCGTAACGACCGCCCCAACAGCCGTAGGTGCGGCACTGCCATTATAATCAAAAACTCCCTTTCCCAGTCCCCAAGTCCCCTAATCACTAACACCTTAATTAAACACAGCACTAACGTTAAAAATAGCAACTCCCAAATCTTTATAATCTTTAT